AGTTGGCCATAGATTTCAGCAATAGATTTTAAACTGAAAAAAATGCGTGATCGGGGTATTTAATCGGTCTAATTTCATCGTATTCCTTGTGGCCTCTTGCTTTAGATTCGAAAAGAAAATTTTCCTAACCATTTCCTATAGTCCGGGAAAATCGATTTTCATCAAACTTTCGCAAAATTCGGCCAGTTCGGGGTTTTTAATCGATCTAATTTCAACGGCATCGTATTCCCGGCATCTTGCTTTAGATTCGAAAAGAAAATTTTCCGAACCATATCTTATATTCTGGAAAAATCGTTTTTCTTCAAACAATCGCAAATTTTGGCCTGTATCGGCATCGTATTCGTCTTAAAGGAAAAAGTGGTAGGCTTGATATGTGAGTCTTCGATGAAGAGTTTAACAAAACACGGGCATACATACATAAAAAAATTTTAGTAACATGAAATGTATTGGCTTTAAGTCGCTGGAGACTAGGAAAAAAAAATTATATACTACTTTAAGAAAATTCAGGACAATTGCAATCGGTATAAAAATGAACAACCCTTAAAGAACGTTTTTATAGCATGTTCCATAGATGTGAACAGGTTTATTAAAACCAATACAACACAACAATTTGGTTGAAAACTGGTTCAACATTGTTAAAAATATTCTCAATCAAAGGGAATTAATTAAGAGACAAACAAAGATTTATTCGTAAAATCAGAAATTATGTTCTAAGTGAATACAACGAAGTCAGATATAATATAAAAAAACTAAATGTGCAACGCGCGCACGACAGCTTACAAAAGAATTTGAAGAATCTTGGGGAAAACGAAAAAAAGAGACGTATTCACACATAAAAGCGGCGTACTCAAAGAAAGTTAAAACAGACCTGCCAAAGAAATTGTCTTATATTAATCAAATTCCTAATCCAAAAAAAGGAAGAAAAAAAAGTGAAGTAGAAAATATTATGAACGGGTTTTTACCAAAAACAATTAGCAAATTCCAAAAATATTTTTTCCCTGTATTACGTAGTAGTCATTGGATGCTAATGGTAGCAAATGTTGAAGATCAGCAAGTTTTATTTTTTGATACAATGACTACTGAAACTAGAAAAGCAGAAACTTATTATAAACAATTATCCAATTGATTGTTGGATTGAAGAAATGGTTAGGAAAATTTTCTTTTTGGATCTGAAGCAAGAGGCGACCAGGAATACGATGCCGTTAAAATTAGATCGATTAGAAACCCCGAACAGGCCAAAATTTGCGATTGTTTGAAAATAAAACGATTTTCACGGAATATAAGAAATGGTTAGGGAAATTTTCTTTTTGATTCTGAAGCAAGAAGCGACCAGGAATATAATGCCGTTGAAATGCGATCCATTGGAAACCCCGAACCGGCCGACTTTTGCTTATGTTTGAAGAAAATCGATTTTTCCGGAATATAAGAAATGGTTAGGAAAATTTTCTTTTTGATTCTGAAGCAAGAAGCGACCAGGAATATAATGCCTTTGAAGTGGGATCTATTAGAAACCCCGAACAGGCCGACATTTGCTTGTTTGAAGAAAATCGATTTTTTCCTGATTATAAGAAATGGTTAGGAAAATTTTCTTTCTGATTCTGAAGCAAGAAGCGACCAGGAATATAATGCCGTTGAAATGCGATCCATTGGAAACCCCGAACCGGCCGACTTTTGCTTATGTTTGAAGAAAATCGATTTTTCCGGAATATAAGAAATGGTTAGGAAAATTTTCATTTCGAATCTGAAGCAAGAGGCCACCAGGAATACGATGCCATTGAAATTGGATCGATTAAAAACCCCGAACGGGCCGAATTTTGCAAATGTTTGAAGAAAATCGATTTTCGCGGACTACAAGAAATGGTTAGCAAAATTTTCTTTTCGAATTTGAAAGAAGAGCCGACCATGAATACGATGCCGTTGAAATTAGATCGATTAAATACCCCGATCACGGATTTTTTTCAGTTTAAAATCTATGGCTGAAATCTATGGCCAACTTTACAAGCGTCAAATAATTACAGTTTTAGTGAAAAAACATGTTTATGATGATACTGTTGATATCAACAGTTCGTACATTGCGGAATATCCAAAAGTACGGCTTGGCGTGTGCCACACGAACAGTACAAGAATTAAAAATTGCTGATCATCCGTTGCGAGTACAGTTTTGTCATACTATGATGAAAAAATGTACTATTGATGCTGCGTGTTTAGAAAAAATACTTTTTTCTTCAAACGTCATGAAATGACAACTTTGTTGGTGTGTTTACGACGGTTGCTAAGATCAACATAGCAAAAAAGTACTTCAGCGTTATGGCGCTAAAGTAAATTTCACTTTAACGCCATAACCCTGAAGAACATTTCACTTTAGCGCCGTATTATTTGAAACGTTTGAAGAAAAAATACTATGTTTTATTCGGAAGAGAAGCAGTTTCGTTTGTGGCTGGTCCGTCATTGCAAACTGTCGGACACGCCACAATTTTAACGGCTCATCTGTCATTAGCAACTTACTGCGTTCGTCGATAAACGACCATAAAAAACACTGCTTCTCTTCCAAATAAAACAATATACTATTTATTGATGACCATTAATTTGACATATTGCTTTACTGCTTTACTTACGATTTATTTTCATGGACGCCTATGATTGATGACAGTATTTCATAGAGGAGGTTGTATCTTTTTGTGAATAACCTCTAAACCGATGCGTCTAATCAAAAATTTCTAAGAGTGAAAATAACTTTAGAATGAAATAGGCTTTTAGAATCAGTTGGGAATTTTAAAGGTTTACGACATAATAAAAAAGTTTTAAGGAAATAACCTTTGTGGACACCTGTATAACATTGATTCCGTGGTTGCATAGTTTCAAAATTGATCTTAAACGATTTCTCATCATAACATTGTACAGGGTGTCCCAATTTCGATGTCTGCATAGGCTATCTCCGAAACTAAAAGAGATAGAAAAAAAGTAGCTTACATGTCATGATCTCGTTTTTCGAGAAAATGCTAATGCCGAAAACTCCGAACAGCTATCCTCTTTTGTTTTCGCCCTATCGGCAAAAACTAAAAATTTTGCGAAAACGACAATCGCGAATATCTCACTTATTATCAAAGAGGGAGTATTATAAATAAAACATTATATGGACAACTTTTTACGAAGAATTCAGTGGCGTAGGTAGAATTTTTTTCCCACCTTTTATTTTCGAGATTTTAGATGTAACTTTATTTTTTTAAATGAAAACCATAGTTGGTTATGACCTAAAATAATTTGTTATTTTCTTCTGATAACAAATATATATAGTTTGTAGGGTATATTTCTTATAGTTATTGAATAATTAATAAAAATTCATTTTGTTTTATCTAAAACTAATGTATGTATTTAAAAGTTAATGTTGCTATGGTGATAACCATACATACTATGATGGAACATAATGTATCAATTTTTTTTGTTCTTTCTAAAACTATTGTATGTATTTAAAACTTAATGTTGTTATGGTGATAACCATACCATGAGGGAAAGCATTGTTTCCAATTATTGCCAAAGTTTGTAGCAAGGACAGTAGAATCTAACAGGACTGCTACATCCATTGTATTTTTGTAGTCGACTACGGGTTGGTTGCCCGCACTCTACGTCACACTATTTGCCACGCCTGGTAACTGTCT